TTTACTCTCTTACTTTCGTCAAATTGCAGTCTAGATAGATCAATAGTAGATCAATACGTAGTTACGCACCTCACCTGACGATCTGAATCGGAGGTGCGTCAACTGTGATCTGAGGCAAGCGTTAGTCTGAGGCACAACATATATATTCGGAAAGACAATTACTAATTTCTGGAAGAATTTATAAACCTTTGATAATAATTGTTAGCTGTTGGAGGTTATAAAGCATTTAATCATATGAGTGCGCACCTACTTCACAAACTGAATTTTTTACACTGTTGAAAGTAATGATATGCGGATCCTTCATGTCTACAAATTTCTTTGTAGTATTGTGATGTACTGTATTTCTTGTTATCCTGACTCACGATATCCATGATGTGTTTTTTTTTTTGTTATTTTTTTTTTTTTGGGTGGGTCAATAAAAGTGGGTCAGGTGGTCAAGAACAATGTATTTGTGCAAGTTTCACATAATTCTGCAAAGTGCAATAAACTACTTCCAAGTTTTTGATAATATTCAAATGATTTGTGTTTATTCTTTTTAGCACTGGTTTCTTCTTTATATTAATGCCAACTATAATTATTCATCATTACCCAAGACTGAAGCATAAATTGTTTTACTGTTACGTATGAAGCAAAGATTATTCAATCGTTAGTATTTTACTTTTACATTAGTAAAAATATAGGTCAGTTAGGTTAATTTGGACGATTTAAGAATTTTTAAACGTCCAAAAAAAAAAATCTTTTTATTTTATGTAGGATAATCTGAAAACCAACTTTAGCATACATACATTTCCACATTGATCACGTGCTATTGATTCTGTAATGCGATTGATAATTTTGATTATTATCAAAATGAAGCCCTCTGATTGACTGGTATTGCTAGACAAAATCAAGAGGAAAATAAATTACAAATTTTAAGTATTCGTATAATCATTATTACGTAAGTATAAAGTTTGATTAATCAACAATAATCTTTTTGTTACTTTCATAAATTAAGACTAGGAAAACATAAAACTTTAAATGCACTTTAAAAAACATACCCGATCTTATTACATGTAAACGATGTCTAGTTCATTTTTTGCACAAATTGCTACCCTTCCACTTGAACTTGATGAAAAAACAAGACTTCGCAAGTATTTCACAGATCACGATGAAACTAAAGCAAACCAAATTCTTTTCTCAATCACAATTAAAAACGAGAAGGTTGCCTATTTGAGAACTTTTTTGGAGCATGGTATGTTCTTTAGTCGAAATTAATTTAAATATAAAACCATATGAACTTCTAAATCTCAAATTACCTTTCAATTCTTGATAATAGAAGAGAAAAAAAAGAAAGGCAGTGAGCAGAGGTAAGAATATTGTCAAAATTCATTATTGATGTTAAAGAAGTCAATAGATTTTTTTATTGGTTACACTACAATCTAGACAGTCAGAAAAAGAAGTAATAAATGTGAAAGATTAAAATGAAATCCGATTTCATATTGCTGAAAGTGCAAGATCAAGACTTATTAGGCAGGAGCGAAGGGAAGCAGAGTGTAAGACCTTTTTATGCTCTGCTAATTTGAGTCGATATCTGGCTCCTGTCCCTGTAATTTAAATCGATTTTGAATAATTATATCCTCCTGTAAAAATTTAATTAGAATTTCGATTATTAAAAAATTATGATAAATAAAATAGACTAATAAACATTATAAAAAAAATGACGATTGTTGTGTGATAATATAAATAAAATAGACGATTACTAAGCTAATTAAAAGCTAATTAATAATTTGTTGTATCAATGCAAAAAAAAGAATTCATATGCCTAAACAAAAGGATGCAAAAAATAACTGTTAAATTACCTAAATGATAAGTCATAAGTCAATTAAAAGACAAGATCAGTGCAAAATGTCAAAATAATAATGTCGAAAAAGAAAATACAAATCCAAGTGATAAACGTAATGTTTATTATAATGTCACCATCGGTTGGGAGAGCAATTGTGGATGTTGATCCAATTTAACTCCGATGGTTAACTTTGTTCGGGATTTTATAACACTTCTACACGTGATATGATGTCACGAAACTCTTAAACTGAGTCGGATTATCACTTAAGATCAAACTTCAATTATCGGGGGGGGGGGTAATTTATTATGTAACTATAAGATAAGAAATGCAAGATAATAGTAATAATAAAGAATAATACAATAGTAAAAGAATATAACTAAACTAATAAACTAATACTACACATGTAAGAATTCGATTCTTATTATAAACTCTATAACTAAGACATCGAAGGTTCTAAATCATCATTTTGAGACATCTACTCTACATAATCTAAGACAATTGAGACAAAGTCCGAAGAAACTTAACTAAGGCGAAAACTCAGGCCTTAAATACCTTTTACTTTACTAAGAGCCACTGAGCTATCTTTGATCCCAACCTTTTAAGACTCTTTTGTACTATCAACAAGACATCGCTGTCGCGGGCTGTGAACAATTATACTATCAACAAGACGTCCATGTCTTGTTTGTTTATACCAACGATCGGGTTCATCTTCTATCATACTTATTGTATGTTCTTATTGCCAATTTGCATACTTATCAAATACATATAGAGCTTGTAATTAATATATTATCTAATTACAATATATAGACAAGTAAGAATATCAATAACTGCATTAATATTAAGCAAGCTTATTAAAACACATTGAACTTTATTATTATTATTTCTTATAATTTTCATGCTTTTTGCCTTCTTTGTCACTGTAATTTTGTTAAAATTGTTTATTCTTTTACTGCTAAATATATATATAGTATTAATTCTAAGTTAAATAAATAATGAATTCCTAAAATGTATGCCTATATTATATGAAAAAAAATTAGATTACAGTTTTAATCAACTTCACATAAAATTATTTATTTGTTTTAAAGAATTTTCAAAGAATGTTTATATTTATTTTAGTAAAAAAAAAGACACAATACAAACTTTTATAAAAATTATTAAATAAAATTCAAGCATCATATTTATTTTAGAAGTCAGTTTCTAAAAGAAGACTATCTGTATGTATTTGTTCGCTATATGGATTTATAAGTTTTTAGGTAAACTTTTCGAATACTTAAATTTTACTGTATAACTAAATTTTATATATTTACGCTAGTACTGTTGTATGTACGTACCAGGGTACAAATCTTATTGTAAATGACGGAGATCCGTTTGCATATGACCGATTTTTCAACAGACAGAAATTTTCCGTTTTTTATAATAATCTACTCCGGCTGTTGTTTACAAGCTCGCATCTAAATTACGATTTAAAAAAACCATTGACGGAAAAAAGGCACATTACATCACCCGGAAAGTTTGTACTCTGGTACTGGTGATACAGTAGAATCGTCCCAACGGTTGTCGTAACTAGTTACGTAAAAACATTGGGTCAATTCTGTTGCATCACTAGTACATACGTACGTACGTGCGTATACTGTATATGTATGTATGTATGGTGTGGGAACTCAAAACTCAAATTCTCTATATAGATGAAAAAGTAATAAGTAATGGTTACATATCGAAAATAAATGCTTTATTATCTAGATTATCATCCTCAATAAATCACAGGAAACCTTGAAATCTCAACCTTTTTACATAGAAACAATACGCCAAAAATAAAATTGTATTGTACATCTATTCATATATATACTACTATTAAGAATGACAAATTTAACTTATCTTTAGTTACCTTTTGTTCTATAAAGAAAGCGATTGCTTCCTTTTCCGTATGTGCGTACATATGTACATTTATTAAAGGTTGCAAAAATAATTATCATACGTGCAATTTCTTTTCATAAAAAAAAGATATTTTTCTTACGAGAATTAATAGTAATATGATGAAAAATGAATTACTATTATTTCTATAATTTATTTATAATAATTGTTGTTACTTCAATTCCAGCTTTTTGTCAGAAACATGAACAAAGAACTTACCGTGAATTAATAACAGAACCAGTTATATTCACACCCGAATACAATCGAATTATTAGTCATGCTGAGTTAAAAAGTTCTTCAGTCATATGAAATTTTTTTTATATTTAGGTTGGACGGATGAAGATAGGACGCCCTCACTCTGGTTAACACCTACTGACTCAACTCCGAATCCAACTCTCTCGATTACTGGATATATTGACCAAGGATTTATTGTGAAAGATTATGCATTTCTACTCAACCGATGGTATCATATAGCGTACACACTTTCAGAACCTGAAAAACGAATGAATTTCTATATAGATGGTAAATGGATCGGATCTTACAGTATCACAAATGTTCAGAGTCAATCTATCATATTTAATGATGGTCCATTATACATTGGAAAGCATCTCACTAGGAGTGGATTTACTGGACAAATTAAGTAAAGTGGAATTTAATCAATTAAATTTATTAATTTAAGATTTAAATCATTACTTATATTTTCAAAAAATTAGCAAATTTCGTTATTATAATTTTCGTCTATCACACAATGAAGTATTAATGGAATATTTGGTAAATTAATTTTTTGGTGGACATTTACGCATAATTTTAGATTAAAAAATTTCTTACGAATATTTTTAAACTTAGGGTGAAGATCCAACGAAAAGTATTGATGATAAATGTCCAAATAAATTTTTCGATGGTTTAATTATAGGAGTCTTTCTTTGTATTACAATATTAGCAATATTAGCATGTTGTCTTTTTACATGTAGTATCATAAGTCGGAGAAGATATCAAACAATCCCTGCCGCCATGTAACAAATGCGTGACATACTGAGTTTGAAGTTAACTAAAGAAATTCAATTAGATTACCATTTCATTAGATATTAAATAGTACATTCATAAAATCATCCATGTAACAATTTATTAGATTTTATTTTGTATTATAAATAGAACAAACTTTGATCACAAAACTTATATATGTATTATATATAGCATACAAGTTAAAAAATTTGAGTCCAAATCCATTATCGTATAGTAGTTGTGACATACTACCAAGCAAGAATGTATCGTGAAAATTACTAGATTACAACATTCAATCAGAATCAAGATTGTAGAGAATGCCAACTCGTTATGATAATTCAATCTATAATCAATTTTTCTTTACAGTGTTTTATGCATTATAGTCACGTATAACCTGTGTTTGACTGAAAATAATAACATTCAATTTTATACTCAATTTAGAGTTTGGAATCTGGCTTATTTTTCATATTCTAAAGCTGGTTTTAATCGGTTTTAACGTATGATTTACAAATTATTATTTCTGTTATTTCCTAATTGGGCTGGAGCGAAGGGAAGCGGAGTATAAGACCTTTCTATGCTCTAATAATTTGAGTCTATGTTCGGCTCCCACCCTGTAATTATTTAAATCGATTTTGAGCAATCATATCCCTGTAAAAATCTAACCAGAATTTCGACCATTAAAAAGTTATATTATAAATAAAATAGTCTAATAAACATTATAAAAAAATGATGATTAACATGATAATGTTAATATAACTAAAATAAATGATTACAAAACTAATTAAAAGCTAATTGATAATTTGTTATATCGATGAAATATATATATATATGTGCGCCTGAAAAAAAGGCTGCATAACGCTAGAAGAAAGAGATTGGCTACTATGACACTCGATAAACAGTTAAGTTACCAAAATGATGAGTCAATAAAAATTCAAGATTAGCATTGAGTTCGGAACCGGTTTTATTTTTAATATGGTAAACCCGGTTTAACATATGAAAAAAAAACCGATTACAAACTCTAGATTGACACAAACGTCAAAAATAATAATGTCAAAAAGAAAATACAAATACAAGTGACGAACGTAATATTTATTATAATTTCAACAAAATTATAAAATATTAACTGTTTATATTAACTAATTATTATTATTATTTTTAGAGGATAAAAATATCTCATCGTTACCGCTTGCATGTCAGCTTTCTAATTATGATAAGGTTTCGCAATGCAGTTTCTGTACTTAAATTCAGCTTCTGCCCTATTTGTAAAGAGAATTTTCCTACAATCATATTACTACATAAAACGGGAATATGTACTAGATGCAATCAAGAAAAATTAAACCCAAAAAAAGTTTTCAAATGAAAATGATAATGGATTCGTGTCTTCTTTTCAACAGTACATATTCTTATAATAAAGTGCAGAAGTTAGGAGAAAGTACACGTTTACAACAGAGATTAGCAAATGAGCATGGGTTACTTTATAAATTTATGGATTTTAAATGAAAGTTTATGATTGTTGCATGCATACTACATTAAATAAATTTATAAAATATATTACTTAAAATCAACATACATCTTATTATTCATACATATACATATGTATAAACTTTATTTCAAAGTTTAAGCATACAATAAATAAGGCTCCAGCTTTGCAAAACAGTGCCAATTTACTAGTGTATAATAGAAATGTATATAAAATTCTTTTATATAATGTGATTTATAAACTTAATATTGTTTCAAATAATGCTTATATTTTTAGATTTAAATTAAATAAATTAATAAAATTTTTCATGACAGCAATTTCTCTGGAAATAAAATCAGTGTTCTCAAGCTTAGTGCAAACTTTCTAATGATCAAATAGTGTACAAGTAATATTAGTTTTCTAAAAATTATATATAAAAATCAATAGTATGATTATTTCACAAATATGCTAAATGTAATAAGATTTTACAATAAAGATAGTCAACACTTAAGCAGTTTTATTAATTTGAAGTGATTCGAAATTTTGCTGATATAACAAAAATAATAATAATAAAACATCAATCCAGTTGTTCTTATTGCTTATTTGCATAAATATCAAATACATCTAGAGCATGTTATCAATATATTTATTTAATTACAATATACTGTAGAAAAGTAAAAATATCAATAATTATATTAATATTTAACAAGTTTACTAAAACACATTAAACTTTATTACTATTTCTCATAATTTTCTTACTTTTGGCCTTCTTTATATTTGTAATTTGGTTAAAATTGTTTATTCTTTTACTGCTAAATACATATACAGTACTCTAAGTTAAATAAATAATAAATTCCTCTGTATTATATTTAAATTTATGAAAAAAAAATTAGATTGCAGTTTTAATTAGCTTCACATAAAATTATTTATTTATTTAACGAATTTTCAACATAATACAAACTTTTATAAAAATTATTAAATAAAATTCAAGCATCAAATTTATTTTAGAAATTGTCAGTTGCTAAAAGAAGACTTATTAGTCGCTATTTAGATTTATAAGTTTTTGGTTAAACTTTTTGAAAATTTAAATTTTACTGTACAACTGCGCATTTTATATATTTGCGCTAGTACTAATGTACGTACTGGTAATACAGTAGAATCGTCCTGACGATTGTCGTAAATAGTTACGTAAAATCATTGGGTCAATTCTATTGCATCACTAGTGCATATGGTGTGGGAAATCTAAAAACCCAATTTCTCTATATAGATGAATAAGCAATAATAAATACTTTATTACCTAGATTATCATACTCAATAAATCACAGGAAACCTTGAAATCCCAACCTTTTTGCATAGAAACAATACGCCAAGAATAAAATTGTATTGTACAACTATTCATATATATACTACTGAAATAAATAAATCTTTATTAAGAATAACAAATTTGGCTTATCTTTAGTTACCTTTTGTTCTATAAAGAAAGTGATTGCTTCCTTATCCGTATGTGCGTACATACGTACATTTATAAAGATCACAACAAGGATAAAGTTCATACATACAATTTCTTTTCAAAAAAAGATACTTTTCTTACGAGAATTAATAGTAATATAATGAAAAATGAATTACTATTATTTTTATTATTTATTTATAATAATTGTTGTTACTTCAATTCCAGTTTTTGGTCATAAACATGAACAAAGAACATACCGTGAATTAATAACAAAACCAGTTATATTCACACCCGAATACAATCGAATTATTAGCCATGATGATTTACCAGTTGTAAGAGATGAGTTATCAATTACGCTAGAAATGAACGTTTTAAGCCATAGTCCTTTTTGGAGCATTGTTTTTTGGAAAGGTATTTACATATGAATATTAATTGCATTCAGTATTAAAAAGTTCTTCAGTCATATGAAAAAAATTTTATATTTAGGTATGACGAATGAAAATCGTACGCCTTCACTCTTTTTAACATCTGGTTACTCAACTCCAAATCCATCTCTCTCGATTACTGGGCGTATTGACAATGGATTTACGGCGAATGATTATGGATTCCAACTTAACCAATGGTATCATATAGCATACACACTTTCAGAACCTAAAAAACGAATGAACTTCTATATAGATGGTAAATGGATCGGATCTTACACTATCACAAATGTTCAGAGTCAATCTATCATATTTAATGATGGTCCATTATACATTGGAAAGCATCTCACTTGGAGTGGATTTACTGGACAAATTAGGTAAAAGTGGAATTTAATCAGTAAAATTTAAAATTTATTGGTTTAGGATTTAAATAATTACCCATCTTTTCAAAAAAATTAGAAAATTTCGTTATTATAATTTTCGTCTATCTCACAATGAAGTATTAATGGAATATTCGGTAAATTAATTTTGAGGTTGACATTTACTCATAATTTAATTAAAAAAAATTTTACGAATATTTTTTAAACTTAGGGTGAAGATCCAACGAAAAGTATTGATGATAAACATCCAAATAAATTTTTCGATGGTTTAATTATAGGACTCTTTCTTGGTATTACAATATTAGGATGTTGTTTTTTTGCATGTAGTATTATAAATCGGAGAAGATATCAAACAATTCCCTAACACCACGTAATAAGTGCATGATATACTGTGTTTGAAGAATTTTTATTAGATTACCATTTCATTAGACATTAAGAAATACCTTTATAAAATCTTTCATGTAACAATATATTGGATTTTATTAAGTATTATAAATAGAAAAAAAATTGATTTATATATCATGCAATTATTGGCATACATGCAGTCTATTAATAACACAAAACTTAAATATGTAATCTTTGCTAAAATTGTTTATTTTTGCGATAACGACAAAATATTCTTGATCTAGTATAAATTATTAATAATATTTCGTAGCAAATTGCAAATTGCAAATTTTGGCAAATTTAGTTTCTTACTAGCATCATAACGAGTTTTTTGACGGAATATGAAAAATTAAAAGCCTAATTAATAGTGTTAGTAAGAAACTAAATTTTCCTAAATTTACGATTTGCTATGAGAATTTCCTCTTTGCGACCTATATTATACCATATCTAGAATGTTTTGCCGTTATCGCAAAAATGAACGATTTAGCAAAGTTATATATAGCACACACATTAAAAAATTCGAGTCCAAATCCATTATCGTTATTAATAGTCATCTGGCATGATAGTAGTTGTGACATACAACCTTACTGTTTACCTCTTATACGGCAAGAGTGTATCGTAAAATTATTAGATTACAACATTCAATCAGAATCAAGATTGTGGAGAACGTCAACTCGTTATACAGCGTTTCCATCAGATTTCACGTATCATAATCACGCATAACCTGTGATTGGCTAAAATAACATCATTCAATTTTATACTCAGTTTAGAGAATCTGGCTTATTTTTCATATTCTAAAGCTGGTTTTAATCGATTTTAACGTATGAAAAATAAAACCGGTCAAAACTCTAACGCAGTTACTGTATTATCAAAATTTCTAATACGTAGTTGCTATATTTTTCAAACGTTGAGTGAAGTTTTCTCAATATTGGCATGATTACTTTCAATGTATGAAATTTATTTACGGGTATTTAAGTAATTTTTTTTTTTTAACCTTTTAATTGAATGTAGATAGTTTTACTGTATAAAAGCTGTTTTGCAAATTATTATTTCCTTATTGGGCTGGAGCGGAGGGAAAGACTTTCTATGCTCTAGCTTAAGTCGATTTCTGGCTCCCACCCCTGTAATTATTTAAATCGATTTTGAACAATCATATCCCCTGTAAAAATCTAATCAGAATTTTGACCATTAAAAAATTATATGATAAATAAAATAGACTAATAAACATTATAAAAAAATGACGATTAACTAATATAAATAAAATAAGCGATTACAAAACTAATTAAAAGCCAATTAATTTGTTGTATCGATGCAAAAAAAAAGAAATTATACGCCTGAAAAAAGGCTGCATGCCGCTAGAGGAAAGAGGTTGGCTTCTATGGCACCTAAAAAGTTTTCAAATGAAAATGATAATAGACTCTGGTCTTCATTTCAACAGTACATTTTCTAATAATAAAGTGCAGAGGCTAGGAGAAAGTACACAGAAGAGCAAGGGTTACTTTATAAATTTATGAGTTTTAAATGAAAGTTTATGATTGTATACTACATTAAACTTATAAAATATACTTAACACACATCTTATTATTCATATATATATGTTATAAACTTTATTTCAAAGTTTAAGCATGTAGTAAATAAGGTCCAGCTTTACGAAACAGTGCCAATTTACTAGTGTATGATAGAAATGTATATAATATTCTTTTATATAAACTTAATATTGTTTCAAAAAATGCGTATATTTTTTAGATTTGTTTTTCTAGCATATTATTGCATTTATCTTATTTTAAATAACCTTTTCTAGTAAATAAACAAGAAAAACTTACAATAAATAGGATAAAATAGCTTGTATTCAATTCATTAATTAATAAATAACCATATTTGCAGATTAATCATATAATTAAAAGTAAAATAAAATTTTTCATGACAGCAATTTCTCTAGAAATAAAATCAGTGTTCTCAAGCTTAATGCAAATTTTCTAATGATCAAAATAGTGTACAGTACAAGTAATATTATTTTTTCTATAACATTATATATAAAAACATCAAGTATGAATAGTGATATCATTTTCACAAATATTATGTTAAATGATTAAAATAAAGATAGTCAGTACTTAAGCAGTTTTATTAATTCGAATTTATTAAATATCAAAATTTTATATAAAAAATTATAAAAATAAAAAAAACGTCAATACAGTTGTTCTTATTGCCTGTTTGCATACTTATCAAATACATCTAGAGTTTGTTATCAATATATTTATCTAATTACAATACACAGTAAACAAATAAAGTAAGAATATCAATAATTTAATTAATATTAGGTTTATTAAAACGCATTAAACTTTATCATTATTTCTCATAATTTGCCTCCTTTTCTCTGTAATTTGGCTGTAATTGTTTATTCTTTTACTGCTGAATATATATACAGTACGAATATTATGCCTATATTATATTATATTTATAAAATAAAATAAAAATTAGATTGCAGTTTTAACAGTTTCATATAAAATTATTTTAATTACATTAAAGAATCTTCAAAGAATTGCTTATATTTATTTTACTAAAAAAAAGACAATACAAACTTTTATAAAAATTATTAAATAAATTCAAACTACTATTTATTGCAGATACTGTCGACTTGTTCGCTATATAGATTTATAATATTTTGGTTAAGCTTTTGAAAACTTAATTACTGTACAATTGTGCATTTTGTATTTGCAACTAGTACAGTTGTATGTATGTACGTACGTATTAGTAATGCAGTAGAATTGTCCCAACGATTGTCATAACTAGTTACGTACGTAAAATCATCAGGTCAATTCTATTGCATAACTAGTCATAACTACTGAACTAGTACAGTACATATGCATATGTGTATGTATAGTGTGGGAAATCTAAAACTCAATTTCTCTGTATCAGATATAGATAAACATGTAATAGTGGCTCATTACTTTATTATATACCTAGATTATCATCCTCAATCTTTTTTCATAGAAAAAATACGCCAAAAATAAGTTATATTGTACAACTATTCATGTATATGTTGTACCCCAGATGGGAATCAGCCCGATTCAGAATCGGGGCGGCAGGATTTAGAATTCCTATACGGCCTCCCAACATAACAACCACGATCAGTTGTTTAAAATCTGAAATTTTACTTATTCGAAATTTATTTAATAAATAATTATTATCCAACTTTACATACAATATCGTAAATTTTTAATGTGTCAAGTGCTTATTCAAAATTTATATGGTAATACCCTGCTATTTGTTGTTCATGCCTACCTTCATTATAATTTCCCACGAGATCATATCATGACCGGAAATCTTCCAGTCACAAATAATCACATGAAAAACAATAATAAAGGTAGGCATGAACAACGTAAGGCAGGGTATTATTCATTAATTTCCTGTGAGGAGTTACAATCACAACAGAGATTCTGATGATCATATGATGCAGACGGCTCTTCGGACCATCTGTATCCCATGTTCATCGAGAATCTCTGTTGTAATTAAGCTCCCAGGAAATTAATGATACTAAACTTTTATTACCTAACTTACATACTATATCATAAATGTTCATGAAATCTAAGTTTACCAATAAAAAGTATTTTATTTCGTGTGTCATTTGGTTCGGATTTTTTATGTCATTTATCATCTTTTGAATTGGTGTAAAATTTGGGTCATTATCTATATCAGAGTAGTATCGATATCAAATTTAGATATTTTATTTATTATGCTGCATAATTTAATTTGATAAAAACAATAATAGGTTATACTTCATAAAGAATTTTTGTATTGATCTATAATTTCCAATTTGCTTTTTTCTTCATTTGATTCGCCATCTTCTACAATATTATTATCGTTATTGCTAAGAACAGTTGAAGTAATCATTATGGGAAGTTGTGCATTATCAGGTCGTATTATGATGGCATTCGATACAAAATTTCTTTATTGGTTTTAAATTGATTAATTTGTCTTATTATTTGGAAATACGAAAATTTTTTTGAATTCGATTGGGTTGATAATGAGGTTCCATTAATTAGATTTTTATGAAATATTTGATAAGAAAAAATCTTTTAAACGACACTTGTTATTAAATTACAATATAAACAGACATCGTCAATATTAACTCATTATTAACTATAACGCAAAACTACTGTTCCTGATTGGAGCGTTGGTACTGTTCTTGATGGGACGAAAAAAAAAAAACGATTTGCATACCGTTCCTGATAGGGTTCTAAAAACTAAACTACTATCAAAATATAAGGCTATTGCATAAAAATTTGGCAGTCCACTATTACCCCAGAAATTAGTATTCAATCATTTAATTAAGTTTTTCAACCCAAATTTTCTTACCGAATTCGCGGGAAATGGCGCCCATGGTCATTATTTTAAGACACGTATTTCAAAGAGAGCTAATATTTAATTTAGCCGAATGCAACCATAATTTTAATGTTAATAATTTTTTTGCTAAGTTAATTATTAGTTCTCTTCAAATTACTTGTCTCGAATAACGCCTATGGAAGTTTTTCGCATAGATGCGGTACTGTATTATTTTAAGACCAATATTTAAGAAAGTTGAAATCAACGTTGTAAATCAATCACGAGTCGAGAATTAGCATTCGCATTATAACTAAGCATCGTCATGAGAATAAACTTTGGGGTTCCTTTAAGAACCCTATCAGGAACGGTATGTAAATTTTTTTTTTTCATCTCATCAGGAACGGTATTTTGCCTACAAGTTTGTAAAAATTATTTTAAAAAAAATTTATAAAATTTTGTCAAGTTTTTGTTAAGTTGTTCTTGCTTAAAGTTATGAAAAATTTTTATTATAAAAAATTTGCTTGATATCTATTGACCCCATATACCTCTTAATTCTATATACAGTCAGACCTCCATATATGCACCCTCCTTGGGACCGACCATAAGTGTGTATTTGTAGAGGGTGTGTCATTTTAGTTGGAACTGAGGCAATGCATTTTATAGAGCATGCATATATAGATAATACTTATTAACAATAAAATGCATCTAATAATTTTTGAACAAAAACTATGACTCATAAGCAGAGTTTAAACGATATCTTCGCTCCAATAATCCAAATGCCGAAAAGGCTATGATCAGTTCTCTTGATGGACGTCTAAAATACCTTCAGCATAGACTTAAACATTCTGAAATTAGAATCCTTGAATAGCAATATCATTTCAATGAAGTCGATGAACTCAAAGGTAATAAATTATTCTCCTGTGAATCGGTTTAGTCGACTAAAAATTTTTATAGTTAGTTACTATGTTTATATGCCAATATTCAACATACCGTTTCAAAGTTCCAAGACTTATAAGAATGCTCTTTTTAACATGCTGAAGAGCAAGTGCAGCTAATTCCTCAAAAAATAGATTATTCGATATATAGCAAAATAAATATGAAACAGGTAACGCTATTATAATTTATTCATAGAGAAAGAAGTAGAAGATATATGGGGTCTTTGCCTTGAAAATGACCTTACGGTACATGATACCGTAAGGTCATTTTCAAGGCAAAGATCCCATATCTGTAGAGAAAGAAGTGATAGAAATTTCTGACGATACATCTGAGGAAGAACCAGTAGTTAGTAATCCATATGAATTTTATGGTATTGACTTTACAGAAGAAGAGAGGTATGTTAATAATCCCGGTCACTATATCGAGATCGCGCGGAAATTATTATTAATATATTTAAATTAACTAACTTTTTTGAATCCGAATTAGTTCCCGGTACTTCGAGAATATCAGAAATTATCGATTAATATTGGAAAAAACTAATATCAAATAGCGAACTTTCTATGTTGATATTTATAAAAGATCTATTTTTTTCCTTGATGAAATTTGAAAAAAATATTATATAATTAATTGTGAAAATACGAAATTCATCTGGAAAATTTCTTGACAACATAACATATATTCTATATAATGGTGTAATTATATTAAAAATTTTGCTCCATCTATAGGTTTAACACGCTTCAAAACCATTAGAATTAATTTCGATTTGTATAGTCATATTAAGCTTGAAGAAATTTTTTTCCTATAAAACTCCTTTCGACGATGCATTCAGTAGATTCAAATCAACTTGAAAGACAGAATATTGTGTCGTTTAGTCTATTATTTACAAAGAAATGTAAACAATACCTATAACGAATATATCAAGAAGAGATCAATGATCGTTTGAGAAAATTACAACTATATATTCATGAGCAAAAAAAATTCTATAAATTTCTGGTGAATTACAACCATGCGTTCCGAACAAGTTCTCAAAAGCATGATTCTAAAAATAAAACATCAACTATTACGGATCAATATTTTATTCCCCAATAACAAGCTTCGTCGCAACACCAGTTAGTTCATCAAGATTCATTTCAATTAATTTGACAAGATTCATTTTTTTGGTTCCTCGAACACTATAATTTGGGTAAATGAAAAAAAGTAAAGCTTTATATTTTGTTTTTAGAATTACATTATAATAAAAGAATAGACTTTAAATAAAATGTTAAAGAAATGCTAAATTTCGGATCGCCTATATTAATACCCGTAGAAAAAGCGACAAATTGTAAAAATGGAAACAAGCATGAATATCAATGATTTCATCACTTTTCTCATTTTTGATATTTTTTAATTAATTTTCGAAAACAGATACATAATAAAATCATTCGATTGTATTATGCAAATATACAATCTTAACGTTCAATCAAAAAACTTGGTTGTTTATATCTTTTTACATTATATAATCTCGTGATAGATGTGAAATGATCTCGTACATTTTCTTAATATTTAGTACGACATGGGCCATTTTGATGTAATTTGTATGAGGATTATCGTCATTCCGTGCAAGAACACCATTAATCTTAACCAAATTTCCGTGCATATGCAGCGATGTGTAATTGCCTTCCAATAACCAAAGGATCAGATTAGAAGCTTCCAATCGAATTAATAAAAAAACATGCGCCCAATTCATCCAATGAAGCTTCTGATCTTCTAATTACACGTCGCCGCATAGTATACAAATTCTATAATATTAATTATCCATTTACGAAAGATGTATAAAATAATGGTATGAAAATCGGGTAGATCAAGTTTCTGGTATTGCCTATATGCAAAAATGATGAAAAGCAAACATAAATTTTAGTTAGCATTTTAGTGTTGGATCATAATTTAGAGTGGAGAAACATTAATCAACCGCTTTGATAGTATAAAATATGATCGCGTTGACGCATATACGTCGCAGAGATTAATTAAAAGTTATAGTTTATATTTTAGAAATTAAAATATAATAAATCTTGAACCTTTCATCTAATTATAAGATTAAGCATTATCTATTTCTGTCCTGTTGAATAATTAAACGAATATATCAAATAGAGGTTTTTTTCTATTCAGGCAGCTGATCCTAAAATTATATATATACAGGTTTTCTTCTTTTTTTTGCCTATATGAATCAATCAAATTCACAATATTTGAACATACGGCAAAAAAGAAAAAAAAAATCTACTAATTCAACAGAATCAATTTATTAATCGGAAGATAACATTCGACAACAAACCACTTTTGAAATGAAAATACCTATAAATATGTGATTCTTCGTGTTCTCGTTATTGAATGAATAAATCTAAGCAGAGCTAACTAAAGATACTTATAATATATCGACAAGTGACGCAACAATTAATCTATTGATTGAATAGATACAAGCATTTCTCTCGCAACTCCTACTACAAATTTTTTTGTTTACCAATTCTTAAAAAGCTGAAATTAAATTTAAAAAAAAATGAGTAAACCCAAATACAATAATGGGTCCGGATATGAATTCCTCAAAACAAAAAGTAAATCACTTACCACCCCATCAGTAGAATTTTAGTTCTTGGTTTTCATTACGTCTACCAACACAATTATTCCATGAAACTATTGCTCCATCACAATCAGTTCCGTTAACATCAAGCTCAACCAACTTGGGAAATGATGCATGAATCAATTCTTCTCGTACATTCCCTGATAAATGCTTGCATCCGTGAATTATTAATACTTCTAAGTTTTTACAATTTGATTTAAAGGTACCAATTGATGTACATTTTGAAAAATCAACCCTACGAAAATGGATAAGTCGTAGAGAATCTGTATGTAATTCTAGGGCAGAAACTAACGCATCTGTACATTTGCCCCGTTTCATTATGAAAGATCTCAGACATTTTTGAGAGGATATTAATTGTGCAATTCGTGAATCCCAACTCCAAAAAGGTTCCACCAACGTCATATCAACCTTAAGGATTCGCTTTATGGAAATTTATGATACATAAATGACAACTTAATGAGCTTTATTTATGAAAAAATGACGAATTTTAATTTAAGTTTAAAAAAAAGAAAAAATATTTTTAACTCACTAAATGTCGACAAGATTCACATAATAATTTTAAGCAATCCTCGTTAATAATTTTTCTGATATCAAGGCAAAGTTTTCTAACCGAAGAAATCAAATTTCTTGTGGTCAGTTCATGTAGCAAAAGCCATAATTCATGATGTATATTATCTAATAATGAACGACGATCCAAGTGAAGCTGTTGTAAAGTTTTACAATGTCTTGCAAGAATTACAAGTAACCCACGCAACAAGCTATTATATTGAATAGAAATTGGTTGACGACATTCTTGAATACACCAATGAAATATTGCTGAAGAAAATTCATGTAAATTAAGAACTCGAAGAAATGATGGATAACAAAAAGTTAAAGTTGATTTTGTGTAAATTTTTTGAAATGGAATTCCTTTAGATATTAATTCATTTCGTTCATCGGGAGTAAAGAAGGACATATATACGTTGATGACACTTGCTGACGGGATGATATTTGACCAAAGAATTGGCATAGCAGTCTCACACCAGCGTTTATTAACTTGAATACAAGTATAAAGATCCTCTAACATTTCTGCTCGATCATTTAGCCCATCCTCGTATATGATCTTGAAAACATGACGTAAAATTTCATAAGGAAGTTTTTCGCACATATTTTTATCTTTTATTTATGTATCAAATGAAGATATATTCAATAAAATTTACATCGCAAAATATTTAAACGGTAGGAAAAAAAGAAAAATTTACCATTTAACGTAAGGCCATTTACGAGAGAAACGAGTGCCTTCATACGTAAATAGAAAATATATATATATATATATCAAATCAAGACAAGTAACTATAGATTTATAAAATTTATCGTATTTGTACAAAATCCCAGGAAGCATACCGTCATCCCGTCATCGAATGAAATGTAGACAAAATGATATCAGTCTAGCTAAAGAAGGGTAGATAAAATAAAAATGGTGTACGGTAACGTTATAAATTCAGGTATTTATATTCAAAGATCATTGTTGTACAAAAAAGCAGACATTATGCATATCAAATCAAATTTGCAGATTAACACTGCGCCAAACATATGTACAGTACTTTACATTCGGAATATTCTGGCAAGTTTCAAAGCCCAATGCTTAACGTTAAATGATGTTATTTTTATGAACTTATGTTACACATGTATTTGAATGATGAGGCTTGTTTCAGTCTATATACTATATTTCTCCAACATGTGTATCCAAGCATTTAATTTGATTGGATGGTTATATGAAAGTTACACGATATACTATACCTATTAGAGTAATGTTTTGCAGCCAAAAAAAAGATTGGTGCGTAGTCACATTATATTGATTGGTAAAGGCTGTTGACATAAAAATTCAACTATCTTTTGTTTAATAAACATAATCGGTGAGTAATTATCTCTAATGTACCTTTGAACGAAGAGAAGACTATTTAAGGATTTGTTAAGGAAGAGATTATATGTTTTAGGCGCTGCAAAAAGAAGCAATTTTTTTTAAAAAAAAATTTGATATAAATTAATTTGATTACCGATAAGATTTTTTACTTAAGACATAAATAATTGTATTAATAATCTTGCAATATCAATTATAGCTCTTAAAATTTATATTTTTATGATAAAATTTATAACGTAAAAATTTTTTTTCTGTTGCCTGCACTTTTGTGAGTCGTGTCGCTCGATAAAGATGTGTTAGAATCGATTCTCTTCTAAAGGTTAAAAAACGACTAAAAAGGCTAGTCGCTTATAACAATGTAGATTTTCAATAGTTTGTTAATACGAATACAAGAACGATGCATAGACAATTATGATATTCAATATAAATACTAGATAAAAGAATAAAACGAAATTTAGGGTGTTCTCAAGTAGCACACTCAATTAATTAGATAATGATCGTAATGGTGCTCAACCGTTATGTAAAATTTAATTA